AGTGGTGGGTTGTGGTGTCCTGTTATACATTCTCCGACTTCACTTTAATTCACAAAATAAATCTCTTTATGGACTGTATTGGGGGTCCTGGAATATCTCTGACTTGTAGCTTAAAGCGCTGATCAACTGCAAAAGCCCAAAGAAATGTCTCTTTTCGGCAGGAAAGCCAGGCTAGAGCTTTGATGGAGTTGATGAACAAAACATAGACAGTCAACCATGAATGTGACACTGATACAATTTCACACCCTCCACCTTACCTTGCACCACAATACCGCTTTTACTAGCAATGAAATGTCCCACTGAATTCCATGATGTTAATTATTAATTTCTGTGACAGTTTGGTACAAACGTCCAACAAGTATATTTTCCATTTAACCTCTTTCTAGTTTCAAGCAAGTGCACACTCTGGTGTCCCCGAGCCTTGGCTCTCGCCAACCTGCCCCTAATACTTTCGGGAATTAGGTAAGCTGGATGCATCCCTCCATGGGGAGAGAGAGCGCATTACATAACAACAATTTATCTCTGGAATTTCTATGTGTAAGTGGGATGCATGGAAATCTCCGTTTGGCTTGCATACACCTAAGTGCGGTGATGGGTTTCCGTATGTGTCAAGACACCAGGCTGACCTAAAGCAAAAGCTAGTTGGTATATAATCATTGACGTATTGGAAATAGAAATGGCTCTGATCTGTGCATCAATCATTACCTTGTGTTCGTTGCTCGTGCAAAAGTATTTAATTACTTCGGACAAGACCCTGGCAAAAATGGCAGCAAGAGAAACTAAATTGAGGCATTTCTACTTTCATTGCGATACTTTACAGTATATCCTGTGAAGGGCTTCGAGATGCACTCCTTCCTGGTGTGAAAAGCCCTGTATCAAATTGCTAGGATTATTTTTCTTTTATTTATTTCATTAAAAGCAATTTTATTGAATGCAAAGAGAGTTAAACGACCCCGGTTACCGTAAGCACCGTCAAAGAGGAAGGTCTCAAGGGGTGATTTGCAAATGGGAAGGATGGGGCAAGGCGGAGTGATTGAGGGAGAAAACTAAACTTTATAAAAAGCACAGAGCAAGCCAGCCCTGAATCTTCAAGACGGAGGTAGATAGATATTGGTTAAGTCAGGGCATTAAGGGATATGGGGCAAGAGAAGATACTTGTACTTGAGGTGTAGAGCAGCCACAATCTTATAAACAGGCTCAAGGGGCTGAATAGCCTACTCCTGTTTCTATGTTTCACGGGTGAGAGTTTCACAATTGATAGCGTAGGAATGCCATACACATGGGAATCACATCCTTCACGAGCAAAATATATTTTCACCCATCGTAAAATTTTGGGAAGTGATTTCTGGTGTCTTGGTTCAGTTTTTTGCCTTCAGAACAACATAAAACAGCCTATCAAGAGCATAATTGCTTTAATTTAGTCTTCTGTGCTATGATTACTAGCATCTTGTCATTTAAGTAACATTTGCCTAGTTTTTCAGTTAGCGATTTGCTGCCTCTAGGCGACCCAGGGAATGAATTACGGTATCACACATTTAGGCATTTAGTTGCACATAAAAGTTTAGATTGTAAATTGTGGGAGTGCTCATTTTAACGAAAAGTGCAATTTTTATTGCCAAACATTAACTGGGTTCAAAAGCTGCAGTTGTTAATATGTTACGTTTATTGGGTTTCAATGAACTCCTTCATTAATTCTCTTTCCTTAAATCTATATTTATAAATGAATTTACATTTATGGTGGAATTATCCGAGCAACATAACCCCCATTAAGTTGAAGAGCACAATTTTAAGTACTTTTAAAGTCTGCACTTTGTTTTCAATTTATGGTAGAGTTGTCATCCTCGGACACATTGCAATTCTGCAGGAGTGAGAACGTGACCAGTCAGTTGTCAAGCTGCTGTAAGTAGACACTGGGAAAGCTACAGGAAGCATCCCAAGGTGGTTGTCTCTCTGACGAGTCCTCTTGCCCTGTATGATTATAGACCTGAACATGAGGGAATTTCCCAGTTCCTTCCAATTTCAATGCCTCTGCCGTCATCTAATGAGCTGGCTCCTTCCTGGGATGAGTTGGCTTTTGCTAAAACATGACAGGAATAGGAGTGTGAGAGATTCAGTTTAGTAAATTATGGAATCTTACCACACGGGAGGAGGCCATTCAGCCCCTCGAGCCCGTTCCGCCATTCTACAAGATATATGGCTGATCGGTACCTCGAATCTAATTACCCGTCCTTTCCCAGCGTCCCTTGATACCCTGACCTAACAAACATCTATCACAGACAAGAATTAGAATATCTTGCATGTGAAAATAAATGAAAGACACCACTAATTGAACCCAAACCAACAATATTGATTGCTGTATCGTAACTTTGTCTGGAGAAAAATCCTCCTAACCTCTCCCTTAGTATAGTTTGGTGATGTTCTTACATTTTTTGTCTCCAGTTAGCGGCTCATCAACCTGGGGCAAATACGTTTTTCCTGTATTTATTTGCCTGATCCCTCGACATTGTTGACTAAGAAAAGGCTCTCACGTCTGTAGATGTTTCTGTGACTTGAGAACAAGACGGTAATGAGATCTACCAGCAATTGGAGTTTAGTGCCATAGGGTCGAGTGAATAAAGCTCCTGTTACCAGAGGCGACACAAAGCATTTGGGCATTCTCTCTGGAGAATTTTGCTGCCTGTTGCTCAGTGCTAATGGGCTAGAGATCTAGAGTGTTGGGGGTTAGTGTCCGTGACGTTTGCAGGATGAATGACGGAGCTATCCAGCAGAAGCTGTGACATCTCTCTCGTTGCCTCCAATGCATATTCAGTGCAGTGGTGATCCCATTTGTTCTGCTCAGTCCAATGGCTTTAGAATAAATGCAACAAATAAGACAGTTGAATTTTTTTTCCCCTTCCACACAGCTCTTCCTGTATTTCGCATCACCTACCCAATTTAGCCTTTATTCTATTGCAAATATAGACGTAAAGAAACAATATTGAAGAAAATTAAATCAAGAAAAATGCCCCCAACAGTTGACAAAACTATCTGTTACAATAACTGCAGTTGGTACTTATGCCTCTAATAATAAATGTCTCAAAGCACTTTCAAAGTATAATTGGAGAGAAAAGAAGGGAATGTTATATTGGCAAATGCAGCAATGGATCCTGTGCCAGTAATGTCCCATAATAATAATAAAAAAAATTAATAATACTCCTTGCATTTGATTTAGTGTCTTATCACATCGTCACCGAAACATCTCAGTGTATTATGGTAACTCCAATAATAATAAAATAATAGCTTTTTCAAAATAAAAGAACATTTTGGAATAAAATTCATATTTTCTGAAATAGACCCACACAGCTCCTGAATTGTTTCACTGCAAAGCTAACACAGGACCACGCTTGTTAATGGTGTGGAACATCCACAGTCACTACATGTTGCAGTAAAGTCCTGTGAAGCACTTTGAGACATCTGGACGAGGTGATACGGCGCTATCATCAAATGCGATGTTGATTATTATTAGTCGCAGTAATATTAGCATAATTATTAATATTATTAATGCATTCGCATTCCAAGTGTGATTCACTACCTCTAATCATAATGGCAAATACAATCATTGCAATAATGGTTTGGAAAGGCGGGAACTTTCATCAAATTGGTTATGTTTTTGTGTGACCGATGTGGCATAGCCCAAAGCTACAGTGAAGCACGGAACAATAATGCAGAATTATCTGCAAATGGATATTTACTATAAGGGAAAATTAGATTAGAACTGGAGTGGAAAGACAAAGCCAGGAGTTGATGAGATAACATTCATCATGCGAGATTGTCAGGGAATAAGTGTTCCATTGAAGTGAAACCAATACAATACTGGGAGCGCTGCAGCAAGTTGTCTTTATTGCTGACAAGGGATAGATAACGCTGGCTGTGGAATATGAGCAATGTATTTTTGAGAAAGCTGTCTCCAGTTTGGATGATAGTTTCACTCTTTTATTTCTTCAAACTCCCTGTGGGTTTTAATTGTAATTGAGAAAGCCTTTGGTATTTGACAAGTCGAATACATCATTTGCATATTAATTGATGAGTCTTGCATTACTTTTTTTTGGCTCCTTACGTCAATCAGAGACCTTTTTTTTTGCACTGCCACAGAGATATGGGTGTCAGCCTGGCTCAGTTGATAGCACACTTGCCTCTCAGTCAGCACATCCGTGAAGCGCTTTGAGACATCTTCCTGACGTGAAAGACGCTGCATCAGATGCAAGGATGACACTCGAACACCTCTTGGGAGATTTAATGCAGGAAAATATTAAGGGCTAACAATAATAATTAAAATAAAGCACCATTTATGACCATGGGTTTCGATTTCTTTTGGAGATTATGGAAATAGGGTTGAAGTTTCTCTAAATCGCACCTGTTCTCTAGACTGGAAACTTGGGAGATTTCAACCAGAAAATACAATTTGCCTTTATTTCTGAAGCAACGCAAGATGATTCCACGCACAATTTAATGTGCAATTGAACTTTTTTAACGTTGAATTGAATTTTTTAATGAGAATGTACACCAACAATAACATAGAAAGGTAGTCCTATGTATTCATTTTTATTTGGGGAGCCTGACATGTGGAGTCATCCAGAAGTTATATCACTGCTCCACACAATTGTTTGCAATGTTTCACCCACAAAATACACAGTCGATTCACTTTACAGTGTACGCCCGTGAAGCGCTTTGAGACATCTCAATGACGTGATAAGGCGCTGTATCGAATGAAAGCGTCATCACTATTAAGATAGTAAATCCTGAGAAGCGGATTGAGACATTTCAACGATGAAATTGGGGTTTATTATCATATATAAGGATTGTTATTATTATTATTATAATAATAATAATTGTCCTAATCGCTCCTGCAATCTGATTTTTCTTTCAGGTCTTCTTGCAGATTCCGGTTTGCGGGGAAAAAAAGAATTTGCAACCGAGAGCTTCCAAATCAAGGATCAAGATTAACCTCAAACCACCGATAATCAATTAAACCCAATGCAGTGCGTGCTGTGAATCTAAGCAGCGCATCCCTTCAGTTCAACAACTGTGACAGAAGTGTGGCTGGCTGTCGCCTTGTGATAATTTCGTCAGTCGCTTCGAGGGAAGATAGAGACAAAAATCGTAGCAGAGGGAAGATGTGTTTGCCTGTCTGTCAAGTGTTGATGGCCTCCTTGATCGTTTCGGTGATCGAAGCTTCCATGCACCAGAGCGAATGCCCACAGCTGTGCGTGTGTGAAATCCGGCCTTGGTTCACTCCGCAGTCGACCTACCGGGAAGCCACCACGGTGGACTGCAACGACCTGCGCTTGACCAGAATCCCCGTCAACCTGTCCGCTGACACCCAAGTGCTCCTTCTGCAGAGCAACAATATCGGCAAGACCACGGCTGAACTCGAGCAGCTGTTCAACCTTACCGAGCTGGATCTCTCCCAGAACAATTTCACCCACATCCAAGACGTGGGGCTGACAAACCTTAGCCAGCTCACGACCCTGCACTTGGAGGAAAACCAGATAGCGGAGATGCCCAATTATTGCCTTAAGGACCTCATTAATCTCCAGGAATTGTACATAAATCACAACCAGATTAACAGCATTTCTGCCAACGCCTTTTCTGGTCTGCGGAACTTATTGAGGCTTCACCTGAACTCCAACAAACTCCGAGTGATCGACAGCCATTGGTTTGAGTCCACACCTAACCTGGAGATTCTCATGATCGGAGAAAACCCGGTGATTGGCATCTTAGATATGAATTTCCGTCCTCTGAACAATCTGAGGAGCCTGGTTTTAGCAGCAATGGAACTGACTGAAATCCCTAGCAATGCCCTGGTCGGGTTAGATAGTCTAGAAAGCCTCTCGTTCTATGATAACAAACTGGGAAGAGTACCTCAACTCTCACTTCAGAATGTGCCCGTCTTGAAATTCCTCGATTTGAACAAGAATCCGGTGCACAAAATTCAAGAAGGTGATTTTAAAAACATGCTTCGCTTGAAAGAACTCGGTATTAACAACATGGCCGAGCTCGTTTCTATTGACCGGTACGCCCTGGATAACTTACCCGAACTGACCAAACTGGAAGCCACGAATAACCCTAAACTGTCGTACATTCACCGCTACGCATTCCGTGACCTCCCGTCCCTTGAGAGCTTGATGCTCAACAATAACGCCCTGAACGCTCTCTATGAAAAGACCGTGGGTTGTCTTCCCAATCTGCGTGAGGTGAGCATTCACAGTAACCCCATCAGATGCGATTGTGTCATCCAGTGGATGAATTCGAACAAGACCACAATTCGCTTCATGGAGCCCCAGTCCATGTTTTGCGCCATGCCACCAGAATACAGAGGACAGCAAGTCAAAGAAGTCCTCTCCCAGGAGACTGTGGAGCAGTGCCTCCCAATGATTGCTCACGATACCTTCCCCAACCACCTCAACGTGGACATTGACATGACGGTCTCTTTGGACTGTCGAGCCATGGCGGAACCTGAACCGGAAATCTACTGGGTCACGCCTCTGGGAAGTAAAATCACGGTCGACACTCTCTCAGACAAGTACAGGCTGAGCAACGAGGGGACTCTGGAAGTCACTCAGATCCAGATTGAAGACTCGGGAAGGTACACTTGTGTCGCTCAGAACTCGGAAGGAGCAGATACCAGAGTTGCGACCATTCGAGTTAACGGAACACTCCTGGACGGCACGCACGTGCTAAAACTTTACGTGAAGCAAACCGAATCGCACTCTATCTTGGTCTCGTGGAAAGTGAACTCCAACGTCATGACCTCCAACTTGAAGTGGTCCTCGGCCACCATGAAGATAGACAACCCTCACATCACCTACACTGCCAGGGTTCCCGTCGACGTGCACGAGTACAACCTGACGCACCTTCAGCCCTCCACGGAGTACGAGGTCTGTCTCAGCGTCTCTAACATCCACCAGCAGACGCAGAAATCGTGCGTCAATGTCACCACCAAGGGCGTGGCGTTCTCCTTGGACATTACCGATCAAGGAACGAGCACAGCGCTGGCAGCGGTTATGGGTTCAATGTTCGCCATCATCAGCATCGCCTCGATAGCAGTTTACATCACAAAACGCCTCAAGCGGAAGAACTATCACCACTCGCTGAAGAAATACATGCAGAAGACATCTTCCATCCCGTTGAACGAGCTTTACCCACCACTCATCAACCTGTGGGAAGGGGACAGCGAGAAGGAAAAAGATGGCTCTTCTGAGGTGAAGCCTACTCCTGTCGACACAACGAGAAGCTACTACGTGTGGTAATTCTGAAGGAATTTTTGCTTCCAGTTTAAAGGGAGCACGGAGACTTTTTTGCTTTTTTTCTGCAAAAGTGAAAGTTCCCAAACTCTTTTGTATTTGACTTTGCTAACTTTTGGCAGAGCTGTGAGGACAGATGGATATTTCAAAGACTTTTAGTATAGCGTATCGCCGTCGAAGGACATGGGGGAGAGGGGGCGGGGTGGGTGGTGGGTGGGGTGGGGTGGGGGGGGGTTTGGGTGTGGGGCGGGAGGGAGAAACCAGGTCCGTTTATCCTGCGAAAATGCCTGGGTTGTTGAGCTTCATTACTTATCTCTTCTTTCACTGCAGAAGCCAGTAGGAACTGGTGACAACACAAGTCAACCAGTGTCATTCGATGGAGCAACTTTGCTGCGTCAAGCCTTGAGGAGCCGATACCTCATATTCAGCAAATGTGGTTCATATTAACTGTCCAATACTGATCCATTGCCATGTTCTAGTGTTTCTTTTAGATTCCTAAAGCTGACATGTGAGGATTAGACCTGTTCCATTCTGTCCATTGAATGTTGTTAGCTAACTAAATTGTATTGTTGTATCAACTATAATTTGCTCTTTTTTGGAATTTGAAAGCCCAAACACTTGTACATTTTAATTTGCCTTCTTTGCTTAAACTAGTTTTTTGACACTTATCTTAGACGATTGTGCAGTTAATGTTAAAACAATAATTGAACGGTGTACTTTAAAAAAAAATTGCCGCGTTTCTATATAAAAAAAATAAAAAATAGATTTTTAGCTGATTAAATGAGGGACTTTAGCTGCCAGGTATTTTCTGAATGTCTCCTTAACTGCATTTAGTATCCATATAGTTTAAGCATTGAATTTTACTGTGATTCAGAATGGCTTGAAAAGTATAGTGTAAAATGAAGACGAAACTCTATTAAATTACAGTTTTGATCTTGATTTTTATAGAGCTTTGAGACTCTGATTAAAGTGTTCTTACTTGAAGCTGTGATCAGTGTCTGTGAATTTCCTACATCTCGTAACATTTGATATGTCAAAGGAGTTTGACCCCTCTGTGCTTTCCTGATTATAGAATACAATTCAATTCGAGCTCATCACTGGAAAGTGGAAGTAAATCATTTTGCAAGAACGTTATAGATAGAGGTTACGCGTGAAGCTCTTTGTTCGGAGATGAAACCTCAGGCCTCCTACAATCACAGCCAAGGTTAAGCAATGGTCAACCTTTTAAAGAGCACAGACTGGAGCAAGCAAGTCAATGTTTATACTGCTGTAATCTCAACCGAAAGGTCGCGCTTAATGCACTGTGTAGCTGCAAAATGGCTTGAACCCAATTGCCACGTTCGGGATGAGTTTATTCACTTTTTCAGGAACACCTCCCAATAACTGAGCACTACACGTAAGGAGTTGAGGCTGGTGTTTTCTGTCTTGCCGTGTGTGCTGTGTGACTTTCACCAGCGAGCAGATCAGAGTTGCATTAATGTTTTGCGCACTGCACTTTCCTGCTGGAAGGAAGAAAGCGGCTCGGAAATAAAATAGAATAAAGGAGGCTCATTTGTAAATTTTACAACTCGGATAGCTGTCTGATCCCCAACTTTGTTTAGCATTTCAAAATACGTACACTATTGCAGTACCACAGCATATATGTCCAACAAAGGTTAAAACACATCAGATCTGCGTGTATTTATAGAGGCTTTAACTCGTACTTTTCTCGCGTTCGCGGTCACTGTTTTTCAAGGTCACCTCTGCTTGAAGTAAATTGCTGAGCTCCACGTTTAGCAAAATATACCCAGATAAATGAGTCTCCTTTCACTTTGCTGAGAGAACAAGCATGTGTTGTGGGCTATTGGCAATAGCATGTTACTGTCACGTAAAGAGTGAGGGCATTAAAGCCCTTACTACAAATAAACCACAGAGCAGAAACTAGCCCCAGCGGGATATGTTTGTAACTATTGCCTCTATTTATGGCTCGGATGAATACACGAATCACACAAGCCAAACACAATAGAAAAAGGACAAAAGTTTTTGCCAGTGTTTTGAGATAGAATCAAAACTGATTGCATTTCGTACCTTGGACAGCACGTAGGTGTTTGCTATTGCTCTCCTATACACTAGTGTAGGCGGGGTACACAGACCCCCTGATTTATAGTCTGAACACAAGCTATTCTCGATAGACTTTCGTGGAATAATTCTGACTACATTACGTGTATTTTGTTTTAAAAAAATTAACATTTAGGCATTTGCAAAATTGTTAGATAGTCACCGTTTCTTTGTTCGCTAGGGGTGTGAGTCCCCTTAATTGCTTTCTATAGGAATTTTCTCTATTGTTCTAGGAAGTCCCAAGACGATGCTGAGCTAAGCAAATAGACTCTGACTTGAAAGGAAAGCTATTTTAAGTCCTTTTTTTACAATTAGGTTTAGACGCAAGTTGACACGTCATCCCGTTCAGGTTAGCTATGTTGCTTTGGGGAGATAATAATAATAATAATAATCCTTGCATTTGGTTTAGCGACTTATCATGTCTTCGAGACGTCTCAAAGCGCTTCACAGAATATACTGTAAAGTGAATTGATTATATTTTGTGGGCGAAAATATACCACAAAGGCTGAAGACTTCCTCTAAGAAGCTGGAAGAGAGTCTTGCGATCGCCTCCTCGTCTCCACTTCGCAGTTGTAATGGCGCTGGTCGGGGAGGAGGTGACCCACAGTTACATATGGCGAAGTCCAGGGTCTTGAGACACGCCTTGAAGGAGACAAGGGAGGGAGCAAGGCAAAGGGAATGTGGGATGGAGTCCCAAAGGGTGGGAGCAGAGAGGCTGAAGGCCCGACCGCCGACGGCGGAGCAGTCCGGGCAGAGGTGGTGGAGCAGGCCGGAGACTGCTGAGAGTAAGGGAGCAGAGAGGTCAATATGAAACCCCCTGCCCTAGCAAACCAACCAGAAACCACTCCAATATCTTCCCCCGCCATCCCCTTCCCCCATCCCCCACTTTGTCATTGTCACCTTCAGAGCATCCATTACGATTGAAATATCAATCGTGTCAACTTCATTGTCCTCCCTGAAGCTGATCAATGGTGGTCCCTTGTGTCTGGAACTTTTCATCAAATGCATTGGTTTATTCTCTTTCACTGCTGCTCGGTGACACACAGGGGTTGTGCATGCCATTGATAAGGTAGCGTCTGCAGTCTGAGGCAGGTCACGTGATTCTTGGAGGGGTTCCTTATCTCACTGAATCGATCCAGATGTCCAGATGACCCCCAGCAATCTGTGTTGGGAGGGGAGCAGGTGAGGGGGGAGAACTGGCATTGGATTAAAGCAGTGATTTGTGAGGAGATTCAGTCACTTTCCTTTTGATCAAAGAGCTATTTTAATTGCCTGCTTCGCAAAACACTTCGAGCTGTGATTTCTCAGCCAAGATCCAAGATCATGGGGTTTGAGAATCTTCCATTTTCCTATATTTACCTCTTGAGAGACTCTCTTTCTGAATCTGCAAATACTTTCACAAAGATTCTCAAACAATCGGAATGAGTCCTATTTATAGAGAAAATATTTTGTTGCACTAAGGACAATCATTTAAGGGGGTTGTGAAGGGTCAGTTTAGGAACAGACAACCGGAATTATTTCTGTACGGTCTTCAGTGTTTTTGATTTGGCCTTTTCCTGACCTAAGACTATTTTTTTGTTGTTGTTTTGCTTGTGAATTTATAACGTCAAGGTGCTTTGGGATAACGTTTCATTTGGAGTGAAGTAATGGAGCCTCGAGAGTCAACCGCCGAACTGTTAAATTCTCCAGGAAATTGCATGGCAAAACATCGCTGTGCGGCCTTGAACGACTTTGCAAGAAGAGCAGTCATAGAGCAGTTAGCTCTTTCAGCGAGATCTGAGAATTCTTCTGCGTACAGAAGACAGGCAGACTTCTTACAGCTTAAGCACATCAGAGGAGGTGGTGTGGAGCCGTGTGCTCCTGGGTGGTATGACTAGATGGTTTAATATTCCGATTGTACTCGGCTACGTTCAAACCCAAGCAAGTGGAATAATTAATGGCGGTAAAGGCACAATGGAACATTTTTCTTCAGAATAGTAATGCACCGGGGTGTGATGTTGCAGGGTATGTTTGCAGGACTCTGACAATATGCGCTTTTAAAAGAAATATCTCAACACATCACTGAAGGGATCTCCTGAACCACTATTGGAAAAAAAAGGAGGAAATTACTCTCAGTATCAACAGTGGTCAACAATCCTCCTGTTTTAACTGTCAAAAATAATAATAATAATCCTTGCAATTGATACTGCGCCTTATCACGTCATTGAGACATATCAAAGCGTTTCACAGAATATATTGTAAAGTGGATCGCTTGGGTATTTTGTGGGAGAAACACAGCAGCCAGTTGCACATGGCAGTGTCCCACAAACAGTCGTGGATCACTCGATCATTTGATTGAGTGATCGAATTAATATTTTTTTCTTGAGAGGTTATTACGCCCGGAAAGAGATCCACCGATCAACTGCTGGGTAAGCAGAGGCATGTGGAGTAAGGAAACTTGCCTAAAGTTTCGCCCCGCCTGAGAATGGATCCCCGGATCATCTCACTTGCGAGGCGAGTGCTCTCACCACTACACCACAGAACTCCACAAAATAGCCATTAAGAGCTATTTTGTGACTTCCTATTACAAATTTCCTAGTGTCAAACAACAAGGCAAACATTGGTGCATTGTTACACAAACAGTGCTTAATAACAAAACCACAAATGCCTTAGTGTGGCTGTGCTTTTCTGGGAACTATTGTATTTAGGGCTAGAAAATTCAGGCTTGCACAGCACACTGGAAGATAATGCATCTGTACCATTATCAAGACCATTAACATTTTGAGGTTATATCATAAAATATTATCGAGCGGTTAGAAATGGTCATTTAAAGTAGCCGACGGATAAATGAACACGCTAAGTGTATTGTGTTTCAAAGCAAATTATAAACATTAGCGCTCTGATATACTGAATCAATTACATGAATTTACATTTCATTGCATTTTAATATTAATTATCAGTGGACCGCGCATTTGTCATCTTAACGTCCTTTCTCGGTTGCAATGCAGACCTCTTCGTCAAACCCCATTTAATTAGAGATTCCTCCTGTCTTCAAAACTGGCCATAGGTTCAAAACAGAAGGCAATAAAATATTTCACTTTCAGTGACAATGG